ACTACGCCACCGCGTGCCCCGATCGAAACTCGAAACTTCAGTATATTTAACGATGCTCTGTCAATATCAGGACGGTGTAGCGCTGGTGATAGGGCGATTCATGAATGTGGAGCAGTTGCTGGAATGAGAAATGCCAGAGAAAGCCGAGGAACTGCGAAAAAACCTATCCCAGTGCCACTTTCTCCACAATAAATCCCACATGACCTGAACTTGGATCGAAACTGGGCATCCGCAATGGGAAGCCGATGACTAACTACCAGAATTATTGCACGCAATAAATTGAATTTCAAGTAAAATGAATCTGACACATAAAATCTCTGTAAGCGATATGAGGTTATGAATATGAAGATTACATGTTAGTAGAAAGCTACAGACCTTCCGATGGCATTTCCCACTCCCATGTTCAAGGGGCGAAGGTAGGTATCATGTTCCTACGAAATGCCACGTCCTAGGTAGTGTAAATTTCAAATTATCTGTGGCATTTTTACCAGGATGGTTTTTCTCAGAGGAAGATTCTCGCGAACATGCAAATGGTAGATGAACATATCAATAGATGTTAAGTGCATGGACTGTGTTTGACTCGAAAAGGAAGGCAAGTGTACTAACCTGATTTTGACATTTCTACCGGAAAACACCCAAGCAGTTGTAACATTAATATCAGTGGCTTCAGCTGGCTGTGAAGAAGTTTCTCGTCAGATTTCTTGCGTAATTCGTCATATCCCATATTTAGAGTCGTTTGCTTATCCCCTGGTTCTGTACTGAATATGTCAGAAACTCTTTGGACGTCACCTAATGGTACATTTCTGTTCCGATTAAAAAAATAATCTCTGTGCACTCTTCGGCTGCTGCCAGCACTTCTCCTCACAAATAACTTGTTCCCTTTTAGCCTCATCATTTATTTCAGTGCATTTAGAGCGTATTAAATGAAATTGATAAGTATAAGATTCATAAGTACAAGGCTGTGTTTTATCATAAAGAATTCCATTACACAACTGACGAAAGAAAGTATTCACTTACTGGAATTGGTTCCAATATCTAGCAAGCACTAAACATAAATCAACATTACACAATAATAATAATAATACTAAAATATGGTGAGTACTTGACGTTGTTTATCTTCGTGTACTTATTTCAATTAAAAATTGATCGGATCTTCACCAGAGAGAAAATGTTTGATATAAATTACTTTCCTTTCACTCAACACAATATATGCATAGAGATAATGTAAAGTAAAATTTCCAACATGTTAGCCTTTCTGTCATAATTAAGTAATGTACAACTGGCTGCACACTATTATACGTACTCCACTGTTGCTATAAACAGAAGCCATACCTTGTCTTCCATTTTGGATTCGAAAATTCCCTGGAAGTTTAGCCATATGATGAAGACTTAAATATTCAGTGAATCCAGTTGTACAGGCTTCGGCGCAAGATTATTTTTCGCAAGTTTTCTCAAACATTATTGACGTTGCCATATTCATTTACCATTTTAAAGTTCAAGGTGTTGCGAGTATTTTTAAAAATATTGACATTCTTATATATTCTCCAATTTTCAAAATTCTTATAACTTTGAAAATTGTATTTTCCTAAGATTCGTGCCACATCCCAAGGTTTCTTAAATTATAAAATCCAAATTATAACGATTTCTCTGTATTCTTATGATAGCCAACTCTCTGAAGAAGGATACAATTTTATAATGTGAATTATTCTGTGATATGTTAATTTGCTGCAAGCCGCCGTTCTTGAGCTAAACGGAAGATAAGCAACGTCTTCTGTGTCTTACAATCCGAATATTTTTACAGTACCTGAGGATATTTAGCATTCGTGGTTTGAGAATTTTTCGAGATTTCCACTATACAAAATCGTCAATATCGTCAGGGCAACGTAGATTCTCGCGGTTCATTAGCTTGGGTGAAGTAAATATATGCAGAAGAAGTTTAGATAGCTCATCCGTATATTGTGAACGCAAACTGCTATTCTCCTGGGGGTTGAAGACTGGCAGTTCGCATTGGATTAGGATACGTTTGGTTACGTACGGTAAATTTACCAGTCCATGAACTTCGGCTACTAACTACGCACTAACCCAGGCATATCACTTAACACCCAATTGTGTACCAAGGAAGTAATGGGACAGTTTGTATAGATTTGCTTTGTATTATGGTAAAGTAAGTTAAATTTGGTTTTCAGATCAGGTTTGTGCGACTGACCACTGCGCACTGTCCTATTCATCCACCGTGCCAATCGGGCAGAGATCTCGGGATTCGCTAATGTTGTGTAGGTTTAAGTTAGTTAAGGTGAGGTTGTCAGATAAGGCTTGCGCAAGAAACCAAGGTGCACAATCCTGCGCATCAACCTTCGTCATGGTCTGACCTTGGGGGATTGGCTTGAATTGTGTTTGGTTAGGTTCGATTAGGTTTTCGGATTATTTTTGGGCAGTACTCTACTGCGCACTATCCTGTGTACAAACACTCCAAATCCGGCAGACCTACCAGTGACTCGCTTAGGTTGGGTTAGATTAATTCATGTTAGGTTATGTTGTCAGAGTAGTTTTGCCCAGTAGACTACTGCGCCATATCCTGCGCGTAACCTCTCCCATTTGCTCAGTTCTTCATTCAAGTGATTGGTTTGGGTTAGGTCATGTTAGGTTGTCAGACTGGGTTTACACAGTAGGTCACTTCGAATTCACAAGCGGATGCAGTTAAGTTTTCATAAGTATTTAAATTAAATTGACGTAAAGATGTAATTACATTATAAGTAATAGAAATCTTACAGTTTTATTGATTTTCAAATTTTTAATTTTTACAGGATTTGTGATTACCTTGAACTTGCCATCTTCTAAAATTACTGGCATATCCTAAACGTCAACTTTTCGGAACATTTTGAATGTTTCTGTATTTCGAGCAGCTTTCAACTTCTGATATATTTTAATTCTTTGAAAATATTGATTTATTTGATTCATAATCTTTCCAAAATTTCCATTCTTTTCAAATTACTGCAAAGTGACTTTTCCAAACTTGTCTCACGAAATTTCCGTGTCCATTCTACCTTTCAATTTTCAAAAGATATCTGCTTATCTGAAATTTTCCTCATTTTCCTAAATTTCATTACCGCTCAAATGTTGATACTTTCGCAAATAATCATTCTTTCGTATATTGATGGAAACTTTCTTAGTTTGAAAGTATTCGGAACATATAAAATTGCTATATTTATAAATTTATAATTTTTTGTATTCGCATATGTTGTATTCTTTAACTTCAACTTACGTTATTCTTAAAACCTTGAACATATTGGAGAAATTTTTATTATTTTCCAGAGATTATATTTTTAATTACGTCTCTGAACGCTAGTTATAAATATCACTCTATTATCCGCAAGAATTTCATGGCAATGGGATCATTAAGTTAAAACACTCTAACAGTCGTCCGACGCTCTTCTACCTTAGATTGATAATTAAGTGTATTCATTTCCATTCACGTGATACTTGCAATTAGTGCGAGCTCATAGGCCACTCCTGTATCCTCATGATTCGATTTGTCGTCTAAACTACTTCATTAGAGTTCAGTTGGTGTCTTAGTGCGTATGCAGCGCTACGCTGTTTGGGGTGCTTTGCTGGTGGAGTTTCGTGACTTCAGCACATTTCAAAACGTCATTGATCCATATGAAGACTCGGAGCGATGAAAAGTAACTGTGTGTATTATAGAAACCATTAAAGATAATTTCAAATTCAAGTTTTCAATGTCAGATTATTTGATGGAATATCGAGCCGATAATTCGAATCAACTGATAAAATATTAAAAACTTGAAAAATCCCTTTCCAGTCCAGCATATTAGTTCACAATGACAGCTGAATATCATGGAGAAGAGTGAAACATTGTAGCAGAAAATAAGTGTCACTATCTCTTAAGATTTTTGTGCGAAAATTTGCTTCGAGCGAGACGGTTCATAGCTAGAATTATTGTCTAGCCAGGAATGAGTGTAAAATAACAAATGTTTTATCAAACCAACGCATTTGTATGCGTCGATTTCACTACATAAAATGATAACAATTGTGAAGTGAAATAGAGCTCGAGAAATTCAGAGTGTGTCACTACGGTGACGGCTTCTTTGCTTATATTTTGTATTAACAACAACAGCAACACTTCTGGCTCTGAAGCACAAAATGCGATCTTAGATCTGAAGGGCTTCGTCAGATTCCAGAATTGTACCTCTTCTTTGGCACTAGCAAACACAGAGCAATATTAAAGCAACATATTTTTAATATTAATATCGCAGCATTTGTAAGACTGCATCCTGTTGATTATTGTAATTCCACTGGACACTTACGGAAGTGTAAAGACCAGGATAAAATTTTATATCGAGACAATTCAAACTGTTGTGTGAGACTGTAATACCTTGTAAAGGATATTGATCCATAACCTATTCCAATCGCTGTAACTTGAAAAAATCATATTTTAGCGCCTCCTTGCTGTACGATTCATGAATACGAATGCCACATTGCCAAAATCACAGTATTTTCTCTATCTAATATATTCAAAATGAAATTCTGAATGTATTCATATGCGATATAGCAGTATATATATACGTAAACTATAATACATGAAGTGATGAATCTCTGACACGCCGATCATATTTCACTAACTGATATTACCGCCAGCCTGAGAGGATTTCAGTTTCTTCAGCAGCAGTGAAACGTTCAGATCTTAAACAAAACTATAATTATTTTCAACCGCTACATGACGAAGTCTGTAGCCTTAGCAAGAAAATTCTGTAGGCTCATATATTAGAAGGTCGAATTGCTTTTGTATTAGATTGTGATGATTGTTGGATACAGCTGTATGGACTTTTTTGTATAGAAGGAAGTTATATTCAGTATTGGGTCTGAGTGAAGTTTGACTCAAGTATTATTCATTGTTATCTTCGATCGCAATCATCTCTTCGTGACGTCAGCTCCTGTGTTTAATAGAACTACAACAGATCCTATTACAGAACAAAACGCATAACATGAAACATAGAAATCACAAACAAAGACCTAGGTTTGCATTGAAATGGAGGAGACATGGAGGACGAGTGTCCGCTGGCACAGACGCCGGGACATTCCTGGCCCACAAACCAATGAGCACAGTTGACAGCTTGAGCTACGGAATGAAGCCGACTTCATATGAGTTCAGCAGGTCTGACGTCAGCCAGTTCTGCGGCCACTCTCCACACGGCTATGCACTGAACCCGTATTATGACAGTCTGAAGCCATTGCTGTTGGTGATGCGAGCAATGGGGGTGCTACCCTTAACGTCGGAAGCAGGAGGTAAATACTAACTGGGTGCCACATTCAGCTTATGCTTGAGGAAATCACGGAGCATAACTAACTAACCAACTAACTAACCAACTAACCAACTCACTGCTTGGAGTTCAGCCCTTCTTGAGGAGCAGCCGGAACTACTCGAGAATTTCCCACCATTTTATGGAACCCGAAGGTTTCTTACAATGTTCACAAGAGCCTTCCACTGGTCCCTATTCTGAGCCGGGTCAGTCCAGTCTACACCACCCCACAGTATCTCTCTAGGATCGATCTTAATATTACCTTCCCACCTAATTCTAGATCTTCTCGTGATCTTCCTTCTGACATTCCCACCAAAATCCTATATATGCATCGCCTTACTCCCCATACGTGCTACATGCCCTGCACATCTGATCCACTTTTACATAATCGTTCTAATTATACTTGGAGAAGAGTAAAAATTCTGAAGCTCCTCATTATGCAGTTTTCTCCAACCTCCTGTCACTTAATATCTCTTGGGTCCAAACATCCTTCTCAACACCCTGTTCTCAAACACCCGTTTGTCAGAGATTCCAAGGAGCATAGTCCTCGAAAAGCTTATAGTACCTCAGCTCTTCATATTATATGGACCGGTAGAGAAGCTTGAAACTCAGAATTCTAAAATTGATCAGGAATTTCTTGACCAATCGAGCTACTATCAGCTTCTCAATAATTGTACTCCATGGAGCAAGGTACTTTTTTTATTGCTAGTGGGGTAGGACTAAGTCCCTTGTACAGCGGCCACTTCTGGCCTATTTTACCAGCCCCAGATTATAGGTGAGGGTGATTGTGGAGCAGTTAGTGGAATGAAGATTGGCAGGAAAAAAGAAAGTACTCGGAGAAAACCTGCCCCAGCGCCACTTTGTCCACCACAAATCCCACTTGACCAGACCCCGGGATCGAACCCGGGCCGCCGCGGTGGGAAGCCAGCGACTAACCGCTTGAGCCATGGCTCGGCCTAGCAGGGGACTTAGTGCTCAGAACTTCCAGGATTTTATGTCGTGTTGAACGAGTTCGTGTAGAACTTATTGTCTTATTTAGGTATGTTACCTCATAACTCATAAAAGGCAATGTAGCTCATGAGCTAACTTGCTTCTGCGCACGTGATCATAAGTCTTAATTCTATTCGAAAAATGTATTTTATTGGTGGCAAAGTTATATCCGCTACATATTATTCAGATTATCATTATTATTATTATTATTACTGTAGTAGTAGTAGTAGTAGTAGTAGTAGTACTGTCCTTCTGCTAGATGTTGTTCAGCTGCTAATGTTGTTTGTAGAGATGTTGACGTATTTTGAAAGAAATAACTTTTCTATGTAGGATTTGAGGTTCTCACAGCAGTGGTTATGAAATGGCGTATTGTTCGTTGAGGGTCACATTCCTCAATCGTCCTGTTATCTACTTTATTTGTTTCGACACTGAGAATTTTTGTTAACTCAGAGTTAACATAAAATCGAAATGCATTTGCATTCAAATTGAAAATGAAAAAGTAATATTCGGATATTCTACCATAAGATGCAGAACTAGCTTTTGGGGATGTGTTTTATGATCTCTCGGCAATTACTTCCCTTTACTTTATTGTACTGCAGGCTGGACGGCCGAGGGGTCGGAGTTCTAGTCCCGGTACAGGCATGATATTTTCTTCACCACGATAATTCGGGCCTGATTTGGAGCCCACCCTTCTGCCTATCCAATAGGTACCGGGAGCCCTTTCACCAGTGGTAAAGCGGCCGGGGTGTGAAGGTGACCACTTACTTTCAACAAGTGCCGCGGCCAAGAGTATGTGGATATATACGTCCACCCCCCCATACACCTTCATGGCGTAGTGTTTAATTAGTGAAGCACAGGGACAACTTCACTTCAACATAAGCAGTTCACACGCAAAGTGCGTTCATATGTCTCTCTCTCTCCCTCGTGCTGCAGGTGCAGTGGTTTTCTCGTGGATGTCCCTCGCGATGCTGTACTCAGCATGCCTCTACTGGCTGCTGTGCCTTGGCGTGTGGTTCACCAACGAGAACCGGATGCAGGCCATCAGGGAGGCCAACGGACGCTTCGAGGACTCTGTGGACGCCTACATGCTGTTCGTGTACCTCGTGCCACTCGTCCACCTGCCCTTTACTCACTGGAGGGAAGCTGCTAAAGTGGCGAGGTACCTCAACGACTGGAGCACGTTTCAGGTTAGGTTTCCAATCTTCTGCATGAAAATTCACTAAAATGATTAGAAATATTTAGTGGATTTCTAGAGGTTTGTAGCAATGGTGAACTCATTGCGCACAAAATAAATAAGACATACAACAAAATACATATATCAATCTAAATACATCTATAAAATTATTGATTTTGAGGACAGAATCCATCGTCTTCTTTTTCATTTTAAAACATTTCGGAGAATTAACTCCGTCTCCGCTCTCGAGTCCAATCGATAGAGCTAGAGCTTTTGTCTACAGGGCCCAACTGCTATGCTTTTGCCTGAGGGCAGAGACAGAGTCCAGCCTCCGAACTATGTTTCTAAATCAAAATGGATAATGTCCAAAAAGTCAAGAATTGTAATACTATATGATCGCCACAAATTTTTTGTCTTATTTAAACATTATCTATTTTATTTCCTTGTACTGATTAATTGCTCTAGAAACCTTAATATGTTTCGGTCACACAAGACCATCTTCAGGGGTTGTAAAGTATTAAATGGAAAATAAAATTATAAAAGGTAAAAGCACTACGTCACGAATGCGTATGGAGGAGTGGATATAAAGATCCACATTATCTTGACTCGGCACTAGCTGGAGGTGAGTGGTTAGCTTCACGCTCCGGACGCTTTACCACCGGCGAAAGAGCTCCCGGTACCTATTGGATAGGAAGAAAGGTGAACCCCAAAACAGGTCCGAACATCGTAGAGAGGAAAATATCATGCCTGTATCGGAACTCGAACTCCAGCCCCTCGGTCGTCCAGCCCGTGGTCAGTCGTTATACCGACTACACTATCCCAACTCCTTACACTTCAAAAAAAAAGATTTAAGTTATTCGTGTCATAAATTTCTTGCTAAACGTTTAAANATATATATATATATATATATATATATGTATACTTACAATGTCATTTACATCTTATGTTTCAATAGACAGTACATCGGAAAGATGAGTGCTAACAAGGCAGGAGAAGCTTGACACAACTCTAAGAAAACTGGATCTGTCTCCATTATCAGATTTAATTGCAAGGACAGGATTATACTCAAATGGCCCCGTCTGAAAGAGTCAGCCTAGCAATCGAAATATACTCTTTTCAACGGGTTCAGCTGGGTACGCTCCCCCTTTCTGATAATGGATGCATCCAGTTTCCAAAACCACTTGGGAGACCCATGTCAGTAGATTGGACATAGCATTGAAGTTGGTCCTAAAAGAAATAAGGTTTAAAGACGTGGATTGGATTCATCTCGCTAAGGACCGGGATTCATGACGCTTGTGGATATGGTAATGAACCTCTGGGTCCATAAAGCTTGTACCTAATAGCATTTGAAGAAGGACTCCATTCCGTGTATAACGTTACAATAAATCTCTGGAAATGCTTATCAGTGCGGCACGGGTTCCTCTTCTGGCAACGTAAGTTTATTTCTTGTGTCACTTTTTCCAGAGTCATTATCGTCAGGTTACGGGAGCGAACCTGGTTCTCCCGCTCAAGCGTCGGTGCCTCACGGCCGTCCTGCTGACGTTGAGTCTGTCCCACATCAGCATTCTTGCAAGCTGCGGCTTCGTGATCGCGGTCAAAAATATTCCGGATGAAATTCTGTACTCATATCTCGTCTCTCTGATGAATGTAAGCGGTGTATATTGGTACTTCACCTTCACTGCCTTAAGTCGCAGTGCAGTCGCACTTGAGGAAAGTCTATCCAAGGTAAGGAAAGATTACTTAAGAATGCCAGAGGTGGATATAGGAAATGAACGTGGGTGTTACCCGTAGATCTCATGGGGTCAACTGGACATCTGTACTTGCGTGAACATTCTGTAGCGTCAGATATTTATTGGCCTGAATATTAAATCACTGAGCGTCTAGTAAATGAGGCTCAGTTAAAATACAACTCATGTAGCAAGCGATCAGAAAATCTCTTTCGACAAAATTGATTGAAATATGCTTTTATGACAAATCGAACTTCATCAGCATTTTGTAGCCTTGTGTATGTGTGAGTGTTATTTTCATTATGAGTTTTGGCCTCGTTCCACTTTCATGCTGTTTTAATGTAAAAGTTGTAATGAGCATTATCGTATCTTTAGTTTTCATTTGTTTTCTCGTTTATGTTAACAGTTAGTACTTCGCTGTTTTCTCCGCCTTCCATGGACGATTATTTCTCCTAATATTAATAAAATTAACATGTTGTTGGGCATTATCCATCATCTTGTCTGTTCTTATAATACCGCCCTGTTTCTTTTAAAAAGCGCAACGTTTCAGAGACTGGGTTCTGTCCCCGTCCTCAGGTAAAACTTACTGAGTTGGGTCCAATAGATAGAGCTAGTTCCTATCTCCGGATATAGCAGATAGGAGACAGAATCCAGTCCCCGAAACGCTGTGCTTCTTAAAAGAAACAGGGCGGTTTTTTAAGAACAGACAAGATGATAGATAATGCCCAAGAACCTAATAATTGTAACAACTTACCATCGTCACAAACTTTAAGATCTTATCCTAATATTAACGTTTTCCGCCCTCTGTTTCTGCTTTCGAAGTGGTTCTATGGCGACCAAGCATAATAATATGACGATGAAGACAGGCCATCTGTCTCGCCTCACTTTGTACGCACAGACAGGAATTCAGCCTCCGCAACAAGTTGCTGTCTCTGCAGGACACGTGAGGCTCTCTCTCTCTCTCTCTCTACACATAGGTCCCAGTAGGGTAAAGAATTTTCTGTTCTCCACGTCGTCCACACCAGTTCTGGGACCCACATAGACTCCTATCCACTGGGTCCCGGGGGTAAAGCGGTCTGGTCGTGAAGATGACCACTCACTTCCAACTAGTGCCAAGTTCGAGAAAACCTGGATCTATACATCCACTCTCCCATAAACCGTCGTGCCGTAGTGCTTATATAGTTAAATACAGGGAACACTTTACCTTACCTAACATATATATATAGCCTACAGTTACAGTTAGGTGGGACATGAGCTGTGGCCTTGAAATGTGCAGAAGCTTTGCAAGCACATTAGTAACTGGAGGCAGTTCATTCTGTGTTTATGTTTTCGTGTTCAGCAGTACACAGGAACCTCTTCCCGTGCATACTCCTCCACGGTAGCAGACAACGTTACCCTCCCCCCTCGTGTATCTCATGTACTAGGCTAGTGCTTACTATTCTGCATCATTATGCAGCTTGGTGGCCATTACAGTTGACACTAATTAAGATGAGTAAAAGGTGATAAAAATGAACGGCAGTGGAGTGTACGGAATGTCCACCTTCGCTGAAAAATATTTCATTACATATCTGCAGATAGCAGCACTGCTCAGGACATGTTATTTCAGTGAGTAAAATTTTTCTCAGAAGGAATGATGCATGAGCTATGATTGGGAATCTGAACAACAATGGCTGGTGAAGACTGAAAGTACTCGGACTGATGGGACTGCCTTTTGTTCCAGACTCTGGACAAGAGCCCCATGTGGGCCACAGTACTGGCACAGTACAGATTGCTTTGGCTTGACCTGAGCCACCTGGCAACGCAGACAGGAGCCGCTAGCTGCTACACCTGTGGTTGCTACCTTGTACACCAGTTCCTCATGGTCGCAACTTCAGCCTACGCTACGCTGTCCGATGCCATCGCGGGAAATTTCGATAGCAGACTTTTGTCAATCTGCGCCACCTTCTCTGCCTCCATGATCCTAGCCATCTGCGAGGGAGCCAACAACGTCTTTCTTAAAGTTAGCAAAATCCTTTTATTTGATGTAGACTTTCGGCCTTAGTGGCCGAGAGAGCTCCTAAGACACTTTTTCTTATTACTACTGGGGTGGGACTAAGTCCCTTGTACTGCGGGCACTTCTGGTCTATTGTACCAGCCCCAGATGATAGGTGAGGGTGATTGTGGAGCAATTGGTGGAATGAAGATTGGCAGGAGAAACGGAAGTACTCGGAGAAAACCTGCCCCAGTGCCACTTTGTCCACCACAAATCCCACTTGACCAGACCGCGGGATCGAACTCGGGCCGCCGCGGTGGGAAGCCAGCGACTAACCGCTTGAGCTGTGGTGCAGCCTTGTTCCTAAGCTTCGAGAAAGCTCTGATATTCAGGGTGTTCTGCTGTGGACCAACTCATACAGATAGAAGAGGTTAGGGTTAAGAAAGGCGATGAATGGGAACCTCCTGATGAGGACTCAGCATCCTCGGAAATTCCGGAAGGAAACCTCCCAGAGGATTAATCTAAAAAGCCAATTATAGCTAAAGTTTTCATCGTTTCATACCCGTAAGAGGATGTTAAAACAAAGTCTCAATTCCCCACGCGTTTATTTGTATTTTATTCTTACATATTTCACGTTCCGTTTTAGAATCTGTTGCCTTCTCTAAATTACGTACTAATCATTAAAAACATTTTAATGAAACTCAGCAATACTTTCCGTTATGTTTGACATTCTGCATTGTATATATCCTAGATACTCAGGGATAGAAATTAGTTGAACCTAATGGCCGCAACACAGTAAGTTCAATAGTTCTAACTGATATTTGAAGCACAGCCAGCCTCCAGAACGCTGTGATGTTTAATCACAAAAAAATGACGGAGGAAAAATGCACGACATAAATATCACTTTAATAAAACACCATCGGAGACTTTTAGTTAGAGTTTAAACATTTCTTAATTTCTTACACATTCAAATGCTTTAGTCACGAGATAAATATGTCAGGTAACTCTTTCCGCAGGCGAACGTGGCCTTCCAGAAGAAACTCCTTCGCCTTCAGACTGCTACATACAACAAGGAGACAAATCTTCAGGTAAGAACGCCAGCAAAATTACGCCGACAAACATACAGCCTGACACACATCTAGCTTAAAGAGTTCCTACGTCCCATTTTGTCCGGGACAGTCCAGTTTTTATAACCACTGTCCCGGTGTCCTGGTGTCCGCACAGTTGTTGTCGGGACTGAAACATCCAGCTTTTTTTTTACAATAAATCTGAAATTAAGAAGCATTTATTTTGTTAATGAAATTTCAGTTTCCAGCTCTCTCTGGATTTGATTAGTCCGTCTGAATATTCAGATCAGTGGCAGGGCTGTTGTCAATAAGGCAAAGAAATATTTGATTGTATAAAAGATAGGGAGTTTCTTAGCACTATTTGGGACTACTAGTTTCTGAAGAAGGAGTCTGTTCCGTAGAGTTAGCTATTTCGTTGGCTACTTTGCTGCTTGCTTAACTTACTAATTTTCGAACACTTGTTTCAGGTAAGCACGTTCCTCCAGACCATCTCCGCTGAGCCACCCGTCATCTCTCTTGGAGGGTACGTCAGGATCAACAGGGAGTTGCTCGTAGCCGTGAGTACTCATGCTCTCGCAAGTTTACGTTCACACGCCGTGTCTGTGTGTTCAGAACGACAGGCGGAATTCTGTACATATTGACCAAATTCAAATTTTAAAGACGCTATACTGACCACTCTCTGTACCAGTTATATCCGTATTTGTAAAAATAAGTGTCTCAAAATTTTTATGGTTACAAAAATACAAATGTTTAAGGCTTCAGCCTTTTTAATTTATTTTCCTCAAGTCCGTCTTCCTGAGATAACTAATACTAAGCTTGAGAAATACAATCTGTCATATACCAGTATAGGATTTGAGGTCATTACATGGGTGGTTATGAAGAGTTGAATGTTCCGGGATATGACGCAAGGTATTCCATTGAGATTAACCGACGTTTCGCAGGATTATATCACCCCATCTTCAAGATATGAGTAAATTGAGCAAATAGTAGCGTGAAGCAGGTAGCTGGATGGTTCCTTGCTTGGTTTATTATTCGAACCAGGAAATGAAAACGACATGTTCCTCCGAAGCGTAGGTTGACTTTTAAGGGCTGCATAGCTTTATAACCCAGAAAACAACTCTTATTATGAAAAGGAATCTAATTAATTTTAAAGGGTTCTAACGATGGTGTACAACACTCGGTATTACATGACTTTTTGACTTCGTTTACACTCCGTTGTTTTAGAGAGAAAACGTTTCGGAAACTGGATTCGATTCCATTGCCAGATGAAAAAGAATTGACACTTGCTCGGTTACATCGGTTAGGAGGAACTAAATTCAATTTCTGGAGAAAATAAGACAGTATAATTACGTCTGTACATACAGCTGAAATCAGGTTTTGTCGATAAGGTAAAATAAAGTTGTCAATGTAACAGAGCGTGGAGGCCCATAGGGTTGTGAGAAGTTGAGGCTCCCACATTATCTAGATAATCGGCTCACAGATGGCGGTAAGGTTGTCAGCCTTACGCGCCGGCCGCGCTTTACTCTCCGGGAAGTTTCTTGGTACTCATTTCTGTTAGAGGCTGAGTTCAACGCAGGGCCATAATGCGGCTGAAAGGATTAAGTAAATTGAAGAAATCCACATCATCAGGACTCGAACCAGCGACCTTCCGGCTTGTAGTATGGTGCCTCAACAAACTATGCTACCGCGTGCCCCTTTGTCGACGGGGTAGGATAGAAAAATTAACAATGAACGAAGCCAGCAGTCCCACGGATTCTCCTCTTATTGTTGCGTTTCTTTGGGTTATTCATAGAGATCATTTTCATATTAGTATCACATAAATACTACGCTCTAAATACGTGATAATAAGACATTTCTATGATGTGCAACAAAAACGAAATTTGTGCCTACTTTCTGTGAACTTTAATATACGCAACTTTCAATTATTGATCTACAAATATCTGTTACCTGCATTAGCAATGTACGAACGCATTCCACACCCACGTTGCTGTAGCTGGATATTCGTAATTTGTATTGTTTAAATGAATAATTATAATATTAGGCTATTCACATGCAGTCGACTACATTGGCGGATCATGTAGTACCCCACGAAAAAATGAGAAATTGACATAAAATTTTTAATTTAAAAGCGATAGAAACACCACTTGTTAGACCTAGGCTCAGATCGGAGGAAAATATGAAAGTGGATCTCATATAATTAGGATTTCAGAGTGTTTGTCTGGGTTAGTGTCACTAAGAAAGGGGACCACTAGCAGACCTGTGAACATTGCAACAGTTAATATGATTCCATATATAGACGCCTATTTTTATATTGTTAATCTCTCAAAAGTTATTCTGTTCCATAGACTTATTTTGTTAAGTACAGTGTTTAAGATCAGTAAACCGATACAGCCAAATAAATTTGAAATCGTTCCTGATTTCTCTGCACCACCTCTTTAAGTTAAGAACTTTTCATATTTATGAAACACTATCCTGTGTTTTGCAGTTCGGTTCAACGTTGGTGACGTACCTCATAGTGCTTCTACAGCTTAAGTTCTCAGTGGCAGGCACCTCCCACTGGCTCCAAAATACGGGCAGCGCAACACAAAATGCATCCGCTGTAATGACACGAAACGGAACGGCGAATCCTCCAGAGGTAAGCAATTTGGTTTCCAGTAAGTCGCTCAGCTACCTTTTGTTTAGTTTAGCCAGAATTCTGAGCCGAATTTTGCTGATTCTGTTTGCTTCAAAACTGTAAGGTACAGTGAAACTTCGGAGACCAGCCCAACCACCATAAGTTACCATGCATTGTCTTCTCTAAACCACTTCTAAAAAGGCACACTTGACAGCATGAAGACATCCTGCGCTTAATTCTTATTGGTCCAAATATTCCCCTCAGACACCCTCAGTCTATCTTCCTCCCATAATGTCAGACGCTTAGGTTCACACCCATACAAAACCGTAGGCAAAGTTCTAGTTTTGTATATTCCAATTTTTAAGTTTTTAGAAAGCAGAAGAGAAGGTGTGAAGTTCTGGACTTAGTGGTAGCGGGCATTACCCGACTTGTATGTCTCCTATACTTAATTCGTGATTCTCGTTCCTCCTTCCATAGAAAATATATATGTTCGTCTGTTGGTTCGGTGTCACCTCTGTCCCATCTGACCTCCTGTATTCACACTAAATCTAACTTATAGTTTGATATTTCATTCCCAACGGCCATGCGCGAACCTGCCCAATGCAGACTTCTTACATCCCACGCACCAAATCTTATGTCCGTTTTCGTTAGCTTAGCCCTTTTTTTTTCAAAGAATCATTCCAATTTCGAGGTCCTTTGTGTTATTTCGAAACAAGCTACTTCATAAGGTGAGGAGTTTAGCCTCACGACAACCTCACCTCCAAGCTGGAGGACAACCCATTGGCGGCTGTCCGGAATTTCTTATCCATTATATTCACAGCTACCCTCCATACCGGGAGGCCGTCTCCTCCATCCGCAAACTGAGGACGTGCCATGTCGTGGTGACCAGAGATTCGCTTTAAAAATTGAAGCTGTAACCCAAAACTATAATAGAATTAAGTACTCTTAAGTCAGCAGATCATTAGAGCGCCATATGTAGTGTATACACATATCTAATGTATGTTTTATTTGCTAACACCTGAGTAAATTTATCTACTGTACCTTTTATTCATATACAGAAATATTAACAGCGGAACATCCATGCAGTATATTTGTTATGTAATACATATGTATGGTGTCTGCTACTCAAACTCACCTCCACGTTTCACCCACTCACCCTTTTTTCAGAGACAACCCCTGTAAATGATTACTTATGGGCGGAGTGGTCCGTTGTTTTCTTTGAGAAGTTTCGCTGTACTAATATTTCTGTACAGAAAAGTCTACACTGCCTCTTCAGAAACTATTTTCGTTACACATCACTTAATGATTGAGGGTAAACTCGCCCGTTACTGTAAGACGTACGTTCTTATGTTTACATATTCGTCTTTGCAATTATCCCATTGCTGACTCGTTACCGTGGCTTCGGAACATTGCTGTGGGAGTTTCTGTACGCTGTCCGCTGTTTGTTACTACCAGACATTTCGTGTGCCTCATGAAATCATCAAATTCATATATGATTGGACAAGGTAGGCACACCCTTGTGGTGACATGAGGAATTCCTTTGGTTCAGGCACGACTCAAGTTCTGTATCAAGGTAAGTGTAATGCGTTGTACATCCAGTGGGAAAAGGGTAAAGGCAAAGCTGTCCCTGTAACAGATCGTGGGTGCCCATAGGGGTGTGAGACGTCGAAGCTCCCACATCTAGACAATCGGCTCATAGATGGCTGCAAGTTCTTCAGCTTTACGCACCGGCCGCCCTTTATCCCTTAGGAACTTTCCTGGTACTCATTTCTGTCAGAGACTGAGTCGGCCCCAGGGCCATATTGCGGCTGGAAGGATTAGGGAAATTTAAGAATTTCAATGAACTCGTCGGGAATCGAACCTGCTTTAGCGTAGTACCTCAACCAACTACGCTACCGCGTGTCCCACATCGAGCAGGAAGCATCTGTATATTGCAATGCGATAGCAAAAACAAAACTCCTCATCCAAGCAATTGATTTTGACGTCACTCATAATCGATGGCTCTTAAAACTAGGGACATTGCCAAGGCCGGTGAAGGTCATCAGGTATCATAATGAAGAGAGAGCGGCCACTGAAGGCAAACATGCGGACAATAATTACTGTTGCCACAAAACATGACTAAATAATTGGCAACATTTCTGAAGGTGCGTGAAGTATATAGCTTCATATGTATGTCTCTTATAATTCATTAGAAAGGTGGGGTAACGACTATTAAGCACGTAATTCAAAGAAACTACATCCACAATTATCTCATTAGCAAAGTATAGCTACTGTAAACGACGATGCGTTTGCTGCCACATACCAGGTGGGAGTACACACATCCATGCCGACAAGAATTAATTTTCAAGCGACAAAACTGATCGTAGTTAAGCTGAAAGTCAGGATCCTGTTCATGATGGTCAAAAATAAAAAATGTCTTTGTCGATCCTGAAGTTTCACTGTCATATAAATATATTTTCACGTGTATTACTGACTATAAGCGGGGTTAGGGTTGGTAATTGGATTTATTGATCACTCACAAGTCGTAACTGCAACTAAGCATAACATTCTTGCCGATTCTCACACTACAAATCACTCTTCACTTAATCTTCTCTGTGTGCTTTCACTAGTCTTCACTATTCCTTTACCGGTAACGGATTTACTCCAGTGTGATTGTAACTTCAAATATAATTCTAACTACAGCACATGCGCAGTGTTCAACTCACAAACTGAGTCAATATTAGAGTCAATTTTACCGACCACACAACATATTTTTATTATTATTACACTACATGTTTCGACCTCAAGAAGTCATCCTCAGGTGTACGAACACAGCTGTATAATTATACGCAATCACATTCGTCTTCTCACTTATTCGATCCTGTATCTTATTCAGGCCCACGCTCAATAATATATCAAGCTCCTCTCACAAAACACAAGTTAAAATATTATTCTAAATGTCAAAAGTTAAAATTTTAAAATTTAAAATTTAAAATTTGTGAATCGAATTTCAATTCAGATCACTAGTTATGCTTTCACTTTCACTTG